TTGCCCGTAAAAAGAAATAGAGAGAGAGAGAGAGAGAGAGAGAGAGAGAGAAAAGCAAAGAAAAGCGGTCCTTGTTGTTGCACAATGATCGACCTGCGTTTACCGTGGGTGCTTTCGTGGCGATCGAGCTGGAGACCTCCGAACTCCGACACGTCGACCTCCCATCCCCGAATTCTCCCAACTTGCAACTCTGCATCTGTACGAATGATTTCGAAAGCGCAAGCACGACCTGTCTTCCGTTGCACGCAATTTGACACACGCAGAACTGCTATGCGAGAAAGGAAGAAAAAAAAGAAAGAAAGGGAGAAGTCGGTGCTTCCGCCTCAAGTGACATCGAGGCGCAGTTTCGAGTACGCTCGCACTTGTCGCGATTACACGTTAGTTTATCGCGTCTATCTAGGTCGCCCTAGAAAAGCCTCTCATCGAATTACATCATGCGATGATGAGAGCAATTTTTGCAACCACGCTCGCTAAAGTATTCGAGCCGCAACGCGAAGTCGCGTCTGCGACATAACCCGAGCGATCTTAAGTCACGATTACTTCAATGCGACTAGTCTGTAGCTCTCATTAATCTCAAATGTCTGTCTACTAAATATCTCTTTTTAGCAGCGGGTGCGTTGCTACGAAGCAATTGCCTGTCCACGTGTGGCGGTGAGGCAAGATCACGATAACTTTGGCGACATGATTTAGTCAACACGTTTCGAGATCACAGGTGGTAGATCACAGTCGGATCGTATTTAAGATCGTCTTAAGTTCATCTTCTCGTGCTCCGTAGCCAATAAAACGATACGCCGTATAGTATCTGAATATGGAGCTGAGGCGATCTCAAATATATCTGATTATGAGCACCATAGTCCCAAGTAACATTCGAAAAGTCTTAGTCGTCACTCGTTGTTAATAAAAGGTCATTAACGCAAGAAGTTTAAACACCTCACAGTTAACGTTCATGCCGAAAGACATAATTTACCGATGTGTATCTGTGGAAGCAGCACGCGCATCGAACGGGGGAAGGTTTCCGTCCCGTTCTCTGCACTGCCAACCCCCGAAAGAACCTAACTTATCCCGATCAATATCGCTCTAATTTCAAATGTATATATCGTATATCGTCAAGTGTTATCGGCAGGACATTTTCCGTAAGTTTCACAGATAAATTCGATCGTAATAAAAAAAAAATACTTCTCAAATGCAGAAAGCTCGTCTAAGATATCTTCTTTACATAAATAATAAATTAATATACCTGTTAAATCTTCGCTTCACTAAATTAATGAGCCTACGATATGCTAAAAATAATGAGAGAACACTAGCAAGACCTCTACGGAAGTAGTACGTATTGTGAATCACAAGTTGAGACCGAAAATATCTTAGGACACAAATAGCAAGTATCAAAGGCAACAACGTAGTCACCAACGAGTGCAAGTGGCACGAGGGATAAACCACTCTGTATCTCTTTTAGAAATCTCGCTAATGAGCGGTCACAGCGATGTTTGTTCTTCATAATCGTGTTCAAGCCACTTTCAAACATCACCTTGCGTCGCCAAAGTTGTCGTAATCTCGCCAGCGGTGACGTTGGGATTCATCTTCGTTTAATTGACATCGTTGAATGAAGGCCTGCTTAAACAGCTGGAACTTGGGTGCATCCGTTCTCGGCGTGTCGATCGATTCCGAGAAAGAAATCTGGCACACACCTGACAGCCCCGATCGTCGTCACTGCTGTGCTCTCTCCTCGAAGCGCAC